CCGCTCGATTATTGATTATAGCGTAGTAAGGTTGCTTATTGATTTTTCGGCCGCGGCTGGACAATAACGTTTTTTTATTTTAGAATTTTTTCTGTCACACGAATATCAAATGGTCGGTGACGCAGAGATCAAGGAACAGACGTGACAGCAGCACAGCGACAACACACACGGAGCAGTCTGCTTTCTCCACCAACACCAGTCCAGAACTAACAGCAGAATGACCCGCTCTGAATCAGGCCCTGTCGCTGCGCGTCAGAGACACACAGGGAGGGATTTGTGTTTTTTGAAAAACACTCGTTATCGTCATGTCAGGTTTTTGGTGGATTTAATCAAGTCTTGGATTGCAGAGTATGAATGTCCTCTTGCTATTTTCAGTTGATAAATACTTGTGTAAAGTTTGTGAAGGCAGGAGGAAAGCTTCCGCGATCACCGTCTCCTGCTCTCCTCTCCGTTCCTCCAAACCCCGCCCCCTCCCTGAAAATAATGAGTGACAGGCTGATAGTGACCCGATAGAAACTTTATTATTCACTTAATCACTGATTGAGATATGATGAAGCTAACTTAATCTCATACATTCATGGGATTTATGTAACAGTAAGACAGATAATGTAAGTGTGCACCCACATGCACTATTTTTGTTTTTATAATGCTATTGTAAATACTCCTGCTGTTTTCAGACTCAAGTCCTGTGTGTGATGCATTCAAGACATTCAGTGTCTTTTTTTTTAACAGAAGACTGTAGCTAGAAGCTGCAGCTAGACTGCAGAAGTATTAGTTTTTTGTTTTTGAGGATGGAACCATTTTCACACACAGATATAGGGAGGCTAGACCTATACAATTAATTTATTATGGTTTATAATTTAATGTCAAGACGAAGAAGAAGAAGAAAAAGATGGCTGAACAACTGTTCAGTGTCAATCCTGTGGAGATCTCCAAAATAATGTTCCGCTTAAGTCTCAGCAAAACTCACAACATTTCTGGAGCCTTGTAGACCCCGAAAACTATAGAACATTCACCAAGCAGCACTGAAAATGTCTGCTTTATTTGGTTCTGTTCTACATACCTTTGTGAAGCAGCTTTTTCTGACATGAATGAAATCTAAATACAGAACAAGACCAACTGATGAACATTTAAATGACTCTATTCTATGACTCCAGCATACACATCTATGGTGGACTGCATGCAGTGCCATTCATCTCACTAACAAAAGAGTGAAATGCTTGTAAGGTGGTGATTAAGGACACTTATGTGAATGTTCAGTGATGTACTTATTATGTGGGCCATAATAATATGTGAGAAATCTTCGTTTTCTTGGACCTTATTTTTGATAAGCTTTAGGTATTGCAATTTCACACGTGTACAAAAGTATAGCTTAATTCAACTGATGAGGGCTATGTGAATAAATGTAAGCGATGTGATGTAAGTAGCTCTTGGCCACTTTCATTTTTTGAAAGTAGCTCTCAGATGAAGAAAGGTTGGAGACCCCTGGACTAGACGGTCAAAGTCAATACACACTATAGACAGCAGTTCAGTAAAGTCATCAAAAAAGCTTGCACAGTATTTGGGTGGTCTATAGATATTTAGGAACAGAGCTCGAGAGGAGCATTTCAGCTGAAGGGCCACATATTCAAAAGAAGTCCCCATAAGATGTCTTCCTGCATTGAATGGAATCATTGAACAAAATAGCAACTCCATCCCCTTTCTTATGCATTCTTTCCTGACTCATAAAACTAAAGTTGGGAGGGGTTGATTCGATAAGAACAGCTGCACTGTTATTTTGTTCAATCCAAGTTTCCGTTAAAAACATAAAATCGAGATTGTGCTCAGTGATAAAATCATTGATTAAAAATGTTTTTCCTGCCAAAGACCTGACATTTAATAAAGCTAGTTTAAGTTTGTTAAATACACTATCAGTAAGATTTTTTGTGACAAGCTGTGGCTGACATGGAATCACTGCTAAATTTGATAAACTCACACAAACGTTTGAGCACTTCCTGTTTCTAAGCTGATTCACCCATGGGCGTCGCAGCCATTATATGAGGGTGGGACAAGTCCCCCCCACTTTTTCAAATGATTAGTTTAGACCCCCCCACTTTTACTATGCGGAAAGTCCGTGAATCGGTCCATCCACTCGCCGCACTTTGTAGAGCGCTGTGTCAGTGCTTCACTATCAAATGAAATCCATTCCACTTGCTTATTGAGAGAATGCCCAAATCAATGAAACTCCGTACCATGTTTTCACTGCTACTTTGTACCAAGGCAGATTCTCACATAGCGCGCGCATGTTCAAGGAGTGTTGTCATAGCTCAGCTCAGATCTGTTGTATGAGGCGATGCCGGTAGCGGAACACTCACCAAATGTTCAGGAAATGGTTAATACAGCAAAAATCAAAGCTGACGATCTCTTGGTTTGATATGTTTTCTCCCCCAGACAACATGGACATAAGAACATTTTTTTCTAAGAAGAGGAAAGTAAGTCATCAGCTGGTAGCAGTTAATCAGTTAACAGTGATTGTGGCGTCTCACTTCTGGAGAGGAGTTTCGTCTTTATGTCATGATAGAGAGATACAAATACTGAATAGTTTAGATGAGAAAAGGCATCGAAATGCCAGGTTACTAGTATTTATCATGTAAACAGGGAACATGAATAACCCGATCTCTCTGTGCTCATGTAAACACCATATCCCCAATATGATCATAACCGGGATAATACTCATAAACGGCTTACTGATGTCCATGTAGAGACGCAGTCAGTGTGTTTTACTGGAGCCTCAGTTCGATAAGAGATTATTTTCTGAGTTCTTTAACTTAGGTACTCTCTCTCAAAATGGTAATGTGCATTATGTTTTAATTATACTTCTTATCATTCAGAAGCTTTTTGTGTGTGTTTATGTTTTACTGAGTGCTTATAGGCTATTTCCATCCCAGTATTCAGTTAACTATTTATTTTCTGTGCACATTACATAGACTAGCTAATATTCTACCTACTGCTTGGGACTTTGAGTCTTCAAAATGTCCAATGTCACAGACTGGGACTTACTTTAGAGTCAGTTGTATTTACATTCAGTATGACTTGTTATGATTCAATGTGAAAGAGTATACTGCTCAATAAATAATTATCACTTCACCACCTCTCTTGACATCTAGGCACTTGAGAGTGAGTCAGAGGCAGAATACAGGGACAGTGGAGAGAGGTCCATTGCTGAGGTGAGTGATGAAAGGGAAATGACAGTTGAGAGTAAATTGTGATGTGGACTCTCATCCCAGGATTTTAAGGAAATCAGTGGGGATATTGAACAGGAAACATTTCAGTCAAGGGGCATCATATGACCAATATAGACAGAAGAGCAACATTTATTTGAACATTTAAGTCAATGATACCATTCCTAGGTGAACTTAACATCCGTATGGAGTCAGATCAGTCTCAATATTAATAAATGCTCACAGAAGGATTCACAAATGTATTTTGCGATTTATATATAAATGACTCTCCACAACAATATCTCTCAATGCACTCACAAATATTTATTGTTATATATAAATGTACAAAAAATGGGCATTTAAACTGCTTTTTATTAATTCAAAGACAGCTCTGAATTAATAATCAAATATGTTTCCTTTCTTTACTACTGGATGAAATTACAAAATGTACCCATCATTTTCCTCATGCTAGTATAGCCACATAAAAGTATCAAACCACCTGTTAAAATGCACCAGAATACAGGAAATCTATATTTTTTTTCCGCCCCCACACCCCCCGTTAAAAATGTCCCCCCCACATTCAGGATGCTTCCTACGCCCATGCGTCACCGCTCTTAATCTATTACCTATCAACACAGATATCGGCAAAGCTACAGGCAGGAAGGGCCCCGGCATGTGCTGGAAAGAGTTGAGAGTGCCAAACGCCCTTGAGCCTGCACCCAGCACATATCAGTAAGAGTTTGTTGCGTTTTGTACACACACATCCTTATCAGGCTTCGGAGACTGCAGATGCTTTCTTGAAGGGAGGGGAGGTGGTTGACGTAGGCACGGTGATGAAGACGGGGGAGATGGTGCGCGTCTCTGCTTCAGTGATTTTGGTAGGTGTTGTGGAAGGGCGGGGGTAAAGGACATGCTGCCAGGGGGGGGAGGTGGTTGACGTAGGCTTGTCTTCAGTGATTTTGGTGGGCGTCGTTGAGGGGCGGGGGTAAAGGACATGCTGCCAACCCTGCGTATCGCCTTCATGCGGTCATCGAACTCCAGTGGGAGGGCGAGGGTGAAAGGGTGAGCGGAGAGTAGAGAGAGCTGGGGGATGAATGAAGAGTATCCTCAAAGGCGTTGACGGGCAGTGGAGACTCCTCCATTTGTGTCATAGGTCTCCCATAATCAGAACATTCCTCAGGCGGGTGCAGTGATACTTCTTCAGGGTTTGCTGCGCGATGTGTTGTGTCTTTCTCCTGTTTTGATTCTTATTGCCGCTTGTCCTTGGCAGAGGGAACAGATTGATGACGCAGGCAGTTGAATATGTTAGAGATAAACAATTTCACTCCTGACTTGTTCAGGCAAACTCCATCTGCCTTAAAAAGATGTCTGCGATCCCAGAAAAAGTTAAAATTGTCAATAAAATGGACAGAATGGTCAGTACAGGCAGTTGAAAGCCACGTGTTCAGTGCAAACAGTCTGCTGAATCTCTCCACTCCTCTTCTGACTGGCCGTAGAGGGCCACTGATGAACACCTCCGCATTTAGAGAGCTGACAGTTTCCAACAGACATTTAAAGTCTTCTTTCAGCGCTTCTGACTGTTGTTTCACAACATCATTTGTTCCAATATGTAGTACCACATTCTTCACAGTCGGATGTTCAGCCCCAATATGCACTGATGCAGCATCAGTACTTGATCACATTCCACATTTCACAATTTCTACTCTTTTATTACACGGTATGGCACCACACTTGACATGGGTAGGTTAGTTTTGATTACATTTTTGCTTATAATAGTAATAACGTTAATGTGACTGTTAGGTGGTGAATGGGAAACAGGAGCAGAGCAGATGCAGCAGGTACAGGCTGGATGTGGTCAGAAACCTCTCTGCTCAGGGCTTCATTCCTGGCAGGGACGTCAACCTCACCGACCTGGAGCAGGAGGGCTGTGTGGACGGGTGGAGCTACAGCAAAGACATCTACCAGTCTACTCTGGTTTCTGAGGTGTGTGTGTCCCTAGTTTAAGCTGTAGAGAGCAGACTCTATTCTTAACATTTCTAGAATGTTAGATCTATGGACTAAATAGGTGACAAGTTACAAGGTGATCTCTGTACACATATGAAGGGCTAGTCATGTTCTCATAAGACTATTTGCTAATTTAAACTCACCAAGGGAAGCTGAAAAGGCCATTCAAATGTAAAATATTAACCTGTTTAAACTAATTAATGGGTGATAAGAATAACATTTCCCCAGTTAACCCTGTTTAAAGGATGTTTGAGGATCTTAATTTCCTATGCTATGATAGAGAATTCCTTTGATAAAAGGATACAATTCTACAAATACCATGCACATTCACATACTACCATTTGCAGCTTTGACAAAATGGTTATACATTCAAACAGATAAACCATTCTATCACGGAGCTGTTAAGTATAGCATCCAGGCTAGTCAGCTACTGAATATTGTACTTATATTCATCAGGTTGTTTTTGACATGGATTCCTTTGGTCATTGTATTCATTGCTACATTTTTCATGTATGGATATTCCAGTTTGACCTGGTGTGCAGTGATCAGTGGAAGCAACCGTTCACCTCCACAGCTTGCTTCCTGGGATATCTTGTTGGATCCTTCATCTCAGGACAGCTCTCAGACAGGTACAGAAATCACTGAAAATATTTAAGTCTACAAATCCAACAGGCGTTTTCCTCAGTATTACGTCACTTATTGTAAAGTTTTATGTTGGTACATAATGCTGGATGATCTCTGATCCATACAGTTGATGAAACATTTCTTGTTTATATTTAGTATGTTATTTTGTATAATTTGTATTCTATCATCTGTATTTCCTGGATTTCTCACTCTAGGTTTGGAAGAAAGCCTGTTTTCTTCGCCACCATGGCAGTTCAGACAACCTTTTCCTTCTGTCAAGCTTTTTCACCTTCTTGGACGGTTTTCACCATCCTCATTTTCTTCAATGGTTTGGGACAGATATCCAACTATGTATCTGGTTTTGTTTTGGGTAAATGCTCTTGTAACAAAGAAAAGTACTATTTAAAGACATATCTGATTCTGAATGATATGCATATATTTGCCATGTACATCTTGCTTCTATCATACATTTCTCTTTGTCTACAGGCACTGAGATCTTGACTGGCGATGTTCGGATCATATTCTCATCTATGGGTGTGTGTCTGGGCTTTGCCATTGGCTACATGATTCTGCCTCTCATAGCTTTTTTTTTAAGGGACTGGAAATCTCTCTTGTTAGCTATCTCTCTACCTGGCGTGCTCTACATCCCTCTCTGGTGGTAAGTTGTACTTATAACAGCAAAATGTCAGGAGAGGGTAACAACAATTTGGCTATTTCCCTGAAATATTCTAACTTGCATCCATCTTCTTTTTTGTTTTATATTTTAAACCCTCTGGTTAACGTTGTTTTCTGTCTTTAATGCTGAGGAAGGTTCATCCCGGAGTCTCCTCGCTGGCTGCTCTCTCAGGGAAGAGTGGAGGAGGCCGAGGCCATAGTGAGAAAGGCGGCTAAGACAAACAGAGTTGAGGCTCCAACGGTCATCTTTAAAGATTACAGTGCACATGTGAGTCTGACTTGAATAGGATTGTGAAGACACAGGAGCCAATTGATATGCTTAAGGCCGCTTTAATAGTACTATTTATTCTGTAAAGAGCAGTCCTTTTTCACATTTCATAGCTATTTTTCCTACAGTTCGACATTTTTACTTCTTCACCAAAGTGGTAGGTTACAGACTAGCTAAAACATAACTAGCTGCTGGTAAAACTGATATTATTATATTTTTGTATTATCTTGCAGGATGATGACATGCACCCTCAGAAACACCTCAATATTATCAGCCTGGTGAAGACACAAAGCGTCAGAAGCACGACTGTCATTCTCTGCCTGGTGTGGTGAGTATCCACTCTGAACAGGGTTCATGTCCTTTTTACTGAACTTGTAACTAGTAGTTGGTCCCAAACCTCCAAGTGAAGCTCCTTGGTAAAGAGAAGCAAGAAAAGACAGCAGAATGTACTCAATAGGTAATGCATTAGCAGAAGAAGTTATCACATTACTGTGATGAGTAGTGTTCTTTATTACAACTCCCCAGCCATCATATTGAATTTGAGATCACACCGGCATACCTATTAAAGTAGTTTAGCAGATGATTCTTACAGATTTATGTCTGATTAAGAAAGATAATGAGATTTAAATTCATACCCACAGTTGGAATGCAGGTACAACTCCTCGGCTCCTCCAAAGCACTTGACCCTTAAACGGTTCTGATGAGTAGGTTGGCATCTGGCATTTCAGCTCTTGCCATTAGTTGTTGTGTTTTATTGTGTGTGCAAATGGAAGAATGATGCTATGTGGGGTTAAGTCCTTTTTAGTGGTTGGTAGACTAGAAAATAACAACATAAACTCATAACATTAGCTGCAACATCTATATTTGTAGCAATGTCTACTGTCATGGCTACAACTTCCTACAATGGTGTTCTTTTTCCACAACCTGCTAATTGGTTTTGATCATATTGAGCATTAATGATTGAAGTTGACCCATTTGACAAAGCTCTCTATAACCATATTGGATCATACATTTTCAATATATTCATAACCTAATAACAAACATCTCTTTGGTCTGTGTATGTCCAGGTTCTCTTTGAGTATTGGGTACTATGGCCTGTCCCTGAACACATCCCAGCTTCATGCTAACCCCTACATCAGCTGCTTCTTCTCAGCAGCTGTAGAGGTACCAGCCTACATGTCCTGCTGGCTGGCACTGAAATACTTCCCACGCCGACTCTCTGTCATCTTTATCTTACTCCTTGGTGGAGTGTCACTGTTTCTCATTCAACTGGTGCCTGAAAGTAAGCAGTCACTACCTGGTTCAATCAATCAATCAGAATGCTTAATTTATTCCGGGGGGAAATGATGTTGTATTACAGGTGCACCATATTGGACTAAAGTCAATAACTATTTATACAAACATAGGAAGTAAGAGTAAAAATGTGCAATGAGAGTAGCCACTGGGACGCGGCGTCTTAAGCACAGGAACAAGGTAGCGTCCTCCACAGCACAGAGACCCTCTGATCTCTCAGGCTCATGGTGAAGACGTGGTGAAGCTCGATGGAAATGTTGTCATTAGATATATCCTGGTACTGCCATGTTCTCATTATCAAAGTAAACTGCACTCCAAATATTCCATCTGACTCCAGGCTAACGCTGTTAGCTCGTCGATTTTACCAGCCAGTGATTTTTACATTACATGATGAGAGGGGGAGACATACATCTGGACCCGGCTGTCCTTCTTTTTCCTTATTGAGAGATTTTCTTCAGAGTGGAATCAAACCAGCAATGATGCCGAATTAAGAAAGAGACTGAGGGGTCACTTTCCTCCCACTTACTTCTCGTGCCATCACTTAGAACTTAAAACCATAATTCTTGATATTACATGTACATGTGTACATTTTGGTTTGGTGTTAATTTTATATATATATATATATATATATATATATATATATCTATATATATATAGAGAGAGCGAGAGAGAGCGAGAGAGAGAGAGAGAGAGAGAGAGAGAGAGAGAGAGAGAGAGAGAGAGAGAGAGAGAGAGAGAGAGAAGAGAGAGAGAGAGAGAGAGAGAGAGAGAGAGAGAGAGAGAGAGAGAGAGAGAGAGTTCCTTTTTAAGAAGGCTTTGTAAGTGGAATAATTGCTAAGAGAAAGAGGAGGACTTGAATAAAGCTTTGGAGTCACTCAAGCAAAGGAGAACATTTGATAAAAAAACACTCACATTCTGTTGTTAATCCATTTCTTACGTTTCAGCTTTATCAGAGCTGGCTGTCGCTCTGGAGATGCTGGGTAAACTTGCTATCACCAGCGGTGCATCCCTGATCTACGCCTACACTGCAGAGCTTTACCCAACAGTGCTCAGGAACACAGCGGAAGGCGTTTGCGTTACTGTTTCCAGAATAGGAAGCTGCCTTGCTCCTTTTTTGTTACAGCTGAGTGAGTAAACTTGTCTTCAATAGTAGATATTTGTTTGACCCTATCTTAACATATTGAATTTGTGAAGATAAGCTGCCATTTTAATAGTTTGGATGCTCTGATGTCACATCCTGTAAATGTTTACAGTGCACATGTGTAGGACCCCGGATCTTCCTCTTCCTGATTTTGCCTTCTCCTTATACAGGGGAATCTTTTGAGTACCTGCCTTATATCATACTGGGGACTCTGGCTGTTTTTTCTGCCTTTGCAGCTCTTTTCCTGCCGGAAAGCTTTGGAAAACCTCTACCTCAAACTATTCAGCAAATGCAAAAGAGAGAAAGGTGGGTATCTAGCATTAACTATTTCTTCATCAACATTATAAAACACAGAAATTACACTGAGTATTAGACAATTCACTTATTAGATTTAAAGAAACGTGCAAAACACTCTCAATACTTAAACTGTCCTTGTTGACACATTCATACCAAGAAAGCAGTGTTTGAATATATGTATTCACTTATAGCAATTAATTAGAACAAAGAAAACTTCAACAAAAGATCTCATGGTACCTTTAATATAACCACCAAAACCCAGCGTCTCTCATTGTCATTATCCATGGCAATATGAGAGGATGTTATGATGGTGTCATCAGTCTATTTTTTATTTTTTTGTTCCTTTTGAAAATCTAATTATTGTTTTATTTTTGTTGTCTTTCATCACTACAGCATGAAGTGCCCATGCATCACAAGAAAAGAACATTTGAAACCTGTGGTGCATAGTCAAACATGAATGAGTTATTCATAAATATTATACTGCTGTATACGGTTCTGATAACACTGTTGTTTATACTTACTGTATGTCTATAATGCCTTACGAACATCATTTTAATAGTTTGAAGGCTTTTATCACATTTACAAGCGCTCACAAATATTCAGATTGCTTATCACAAAATCATAGAAGGCTATGAAGCCTTTTATCATGATGTATAAGGTCAAGTATCATAATACTTCATATGGCTGGTCAGCATAGACATTTTTTTACAATGATAATTATCATTATGGAGCACTATGATACAAATATGGCCTTCATAATTTTGGAACAAATTCAATTGTGCGTGCGCTCTTTGCAAGCTAAGTAAAATGACAAATATCAAAACAGAGCTTTAATATTAAAACACTGCACTATTTTCTTTTTGAACAACATTGAAAAGCACAACATTTTCACTAGACAAATGTTGCACAGTTGGCATGTTTGTTGTGACACCATATTGCTTTGTCAAAAAGCTATTGGATCTGTTATCAATATCTTTGTTTAACCTTTGGAATATATAACCTGTAAATGCAATAAAAAACTCAAAAAAGAATAACAATGTTGCTGGGAGAACTTCCTGACTTGATTGACTTGATCTACATTGCGATCTTTTCATTACAAGTACTATAAGGGTATCTTGTTTATAGTTTATGATTGTTTCCCTGACAGCTATGTCTAGGGTATTGAACATTGTTTGTTCCTCAGCAGGAAATATGTTGTTACAACAGCAAAGAGATGGTGCATGGAAGGCAAGAAAAATAAATAAGTGGGCAACATTAAATATAAGAGGCTAAAACACGTCAAATAAAAACCAATGACTCAACAACCATGGAAGAAATAAGTAGCAGTAAAAAAGATAAGTTAAGTAAAAAAAAAACTATAAATAAATGATGGTAGTAACAAAAGTCCTAAGAGGAAATGATAGCTTAAGAAATATTGTAAAACTCTCTCTTTTTTTATCTTAGCATTGGCCTAGTACAGGGGCGTGGCTAGCTCACAGCTTTGGAGAGGGCAAACCGGTCTTTTTTTCTGTTGCAGCAGAAAAAAACCTGCAAAACATTGGAGGGGACAGTTAGGATAATGATATGAAGGATTACGATGAGACAATTGCTTTTCTGGGTCAGTGGGGACGTTTCCAGCAGGTTGTCTTCTTCCTGCTCTGTGCCAGCATCGTGCCCAATGGATTGGCGTTTTCTCTGTTGTCTTCCTGACAGACATTCCCAGACACCACTGCCTGATTCCTGAGGAAAATCTGGCTCAAGATTGGTGCGATGCAATCATCCCGATAGAGGTGATTTAAAAAATGAAGAATCTACTATTTTACAATTTTAACGATCAAATTAATAGCTACGATTTTCTTTTTTCTCTGCTGAAGTAAGCTGAAAAAAGCTCATAAAGTGATGAGTTAGTCTAGGGTAGTCTAGACAGTATTATCTTCACCTGAACTTCTCTAATATATTTCTCTCTCTTCCTGTCCACTGAGATCTTGACTGGTGATGTACGGGTCTTGTTCCCATCACTAGGTGTTTGTCTTTGTTTTGCAGTTGGCTACATGATGCTGCCTCTCTTTGCTTACTTTTGACCTGATTGCTATCTCTCTGCCTGGCCTCCTCTACATACCTCTCTGGTGGTGGGTTTTACTCAAAACAAGCAAACCATCTCACCATGCATGTATCCATTTCTCTACACCCATGTCAGGCTGGATCATGCAGGCAGCAGGCTAGGGAGGTAGGCCTCCTTACCTATGTCTTCCCAGAGCATATTCTGTGTCTTGGTAGGTTGAAGTGCCTGGAAAACCTCCAGCTTACATGTCCTGCTGGCTGGCACTGAAATACTTCCCACGCCGACTCTGTCATCTTTATCTTACTCCTTGGAGTGTCACTGTTTCTTATTCAACTGGTGCCTCAAAGTAAGCAGTGTCATGATGTGGTGTATCATGGTACTGCAATGCTTCCAAGCAAATGCTTTCAGTCTTAGAGTACTCCACGGATTCAGCAATGCACTAATATAACATTGTCAGACTTGCGCTGGATACAGAGCAGCGACGTGCAGTCAGTGGAGGCAGGGGAGGCAGAGCCTCACCTGTCATACTCCAATGTAACGGAAAAACAATTAAAGAAAAACTAAATAGTAATAATAATAAAATGTCTCCACTGATCTGTGTTGTAAATGTGATTTCTGTATGATTCCAATCGCATTTTATAGTCAAAATCAGCAAATTGGCCGAGCTCCGCTACGGGAGCGATGAGAAGTGAGGCAGGCACGAGCACTGCCTCTCGTAAGCCCACAGTAACTTGCTGGAGCGCGGGCACTAATTTAGCGCGGCCACTTATTTTGTGAGCGCGCTCAAGCCATTTACTGTGGGGTGACGCATTCTGAGGTGAGGCACAGATGAGCTCTGCCTCAATTCAGAATGCGTCACCCCACAGAAACTGGCTGGAAAGCGGGCCCTAAGTGCATGCCTGTTCCCATCTCACTGTAGGTCACCAATGTAATGTTTGTAGATCCCTTTATTACATTTATCCTCGCCATCCATAGTCTCTAAATAACTTATTTCACGTATATATGATATTTAGGCTCGCTACACATATACAACGGCAATGAAAAAATCACCAGGGGAGGCAGCCATAACCCCTGCCGCACTGAAGGGGGCGCACGTGAGCCCACAGGTTCTTGTTGCTACTGTTATTCCCACCGCAAACAACAAACTAGACTTTTGAAACTACAGGAAGATAAGGAGGACTTTTACAAAACAGTAATAGAGATTGTTGTCCAGAAGGATAGCATGGACTTCTATTCATCTTCAAGTCAAGGTAAGACCACAACTGTAATGAAAATGGGATCTTACTTAGAAAGAACAATCCAATATTTAGATTTTGGGTATCCTTTTGTTGATCGGTCTGTTTAAAATTAATCATAGCATCAGACTAAAAAAGCTTTTGAAAATAACAGAATATTTCGATTAAGGTCAAAATAGGCTATAATATTTGTAAATCTGACTCTGAAAGAGTCAGTGCCTCACCAGCCATGAACCTCACCGCACGTCACTGATACAGAGATATCATATTTTGTATTCAATGCATTATTCTACCTTGTAAAAACCTGGGCCAACACAATGCAGTTAATAATTCACAGAGTACATCATTTAGGGGCAGGTATTGTTTTCATTATATTCTGTTGTTAATCCATTTCTTGCGTTTCAGCTTTATCAGAGCTGGCTGTCGCTCTGGAGATGCTGGGTAAACTTGTTATCACCAACGGTACATCCCTGATGTACGCCTACACTGCAGAGCTTTACCCAACAGTGCTCAGGAACACAGCGACAGGCATTTGCATTACTGTTTCCAGAATAGGAAGCTGCCTTGCTCCTTTTTTGTTAAGCTGAGTGAGTCAATTTGTCTTCAATATCAGGTACTCAGGTAGATCTAGTTCAACCTGAATTTGTGTAAGCACATCGACACATTTCTGTGGATAATCAGCACCTATTTGTTGTTTGGATGCTCTACTGTATACACACTTTTATTTTCCCCTTCTCCTTGTACAGGTGAATATTTTGAGTACCTGCCTTATATCACACTGGGGACTCTGGCTGTTGTTTCTGCCTTTTCTGTTCTTTTCCTGGCAGAGAGTTTTGGACAACCTCAAACTATTCAACAGATGCAACAAAGAGAAAGGTGGGTAGCTTATGGGGTAAAACATACAGTCACCGTAGCTGAAAAAAACAACAAGGTATTGTACCCAAACAACCACAGAACTTCCTGATACTGGATGTTCAGACAAGATAATGGCAACAAAAACTGCAACATCATGCTTTAATATAGCCACCAAAACCAACCCCTCCTTATCCTCATCATCTACATGACTCTTGAGAGGATATGATGATGGTGGCATCACTTTTTATAGTTTACGTACATGTTTATGAGGTTAAAAATAAAATGTGTAGAAATTAAACAATATTCAAACATTTCCTTTTTGCTGACAACAAAATAATGGTTTCTTTATTTGCATTTTATCCAGGGTTGCCAACTCTCACGCATCTGGCGTGTGACACACGTTTTCACTCTCAATCTCACGCCCTCACGCTGCCCAAACTATTCTCACGCCAAAAAACAAGAATACCGAAGACTAGAAACGGTTTTGAAAACTTTTGTCACGTAGTGATCGTCTTCTCATTAGAACATCTTTGATAATGTCTTCTGGCCAATCAGAATCACGATAACGGAGTGGTGTTGTTGCAGGAAGTCCCGACGGAGAATACTTTTGCTGTAGTACATCTCTATATACATCGATACAACATTACGTGTTGATAGAAATCAACACGTAATTAAATAAGACCCCACGGTTTGATGATTGATAGGTGTGTGGGCTGTCTTTCATTTTGACACACAGAACAATGGGGTCTATCCACCCTTATCCACAATGTAAATTAATTCACACAGCCTCTTCCCTCTGTGAGGAGCAGCACTGCTGCAGCAGGTTCAGAACAAAGTAACAAAAAACAAAAATGGCATTCATTTTTTTAAATATGTCGTGTAGTAATAGATTTATTTATTTTTCTTCTCAAGAGAGTACCAGAATGTGTATTTTATGTTAGTATTTAAAAAAATCTCCTGGGGGAGAATCCCCCCAGACCCCCCTGCAGGGGTTGGGTTTTCAGCATGTCAACTCTTTCACCTGTGGGGAAATTGCAGGATTGCCCTTTTTATTTACTACAAGACAAATGTGCCTTTTTATTTCAAACAGTTCAATTTGGATTGAGACAGGGAAATCATCTAAAGCTCACGCGTGGCGTTTCACTGTCGGGGGGAGCGTGTATGTAATTACATTGCAAATACTGACTTGAGCCCCACCACTGTATGAGTTAGCCCTACCATAGATTACCCAACAAAAATACTCTGGAGCCGCAACTGCCGACCCGTATTGCGCATGCAATCTAAGATCCAGTAGAAATGATAAAAAAGTAAAAGTCTGCTGCTTATTGTTCTACTAGGCCAAAATAGAGTCAAAGAGTATATGAGAGTGAGAGTATGTTAATTCATATATTTGGCAGTTTGGAGGAAGTCTGTAGATTTGTTTGTGTGTGTGTGTTTCATGTATAGGCCTCTCACGATAATTCATTTTGTTGGATACATTTTCCCGGAAATTATTGCGATAAACGATAATATTGTCGGCACCGTTGTATCATATGACCATTTTAGACCACTGACATAATGATAATATATAATAATAATTCAAGTACATCCTTTCTAACTGGTAGTCACATCCTCATGTAAATGGCAATTTATCGAGGTCAGAAAAGTTATCGAGTTCATTTTTATTTATCGTACGATAAGTCAATTAATTGCTTATCGCGACAGGCACACAATAAAACAGTGGAAACAAACATGTTTGACTTTCATTAGTGAATGAAACTGTGTGCCCTTTATAGTCTGTGTCCATTATTGTGTATTTGTATATATTGTATATATATATAATCCTATATATATGCTAAGGTCCCGCTGCTGACACGATAGCAGTCATTTCGTGCGCATATGTTTAATTAAACCGAATTAAATCCATGATATCAAAATCTCACTCCAGCCAGGTACCCAAAGTTGGCAACCCTGTTTTATCCCAACAGCTTGAAGTGCCTGTGCATAACAAGAAAACAACATTCATAACTTGCTGTGCTTGACGAAAGTCGATTGATTGTCTTAAAAATTGCTTATATAAACATTGTACTATTAATTGTATATAATTCATACCGGTTACTGTTGTTCCTAGTCAACATTACCTTCTGGTAATTGCAATCTGTATAAATCGATTTAATTACATTTTTTGTGAGGAGTAACATTGAAGTAATTAAAGCTCGACCAATACATTTTGGAGTATTTGTACATGCACTTTATGAATGTTATCATAAATCACACAGATGTATACAAAACATTAACATGGATGTGCTTTGCAACATGATTGTTTGGTGCTAATTTAAAAAAAAAAAACACACAATTGTGTTGTTTGAATAACTGTCAAGCTCCATGGTGCAGTTGAAGTCAAATGCTTTCACAAATCTAGTGACATACATTATTATTATTCTCAGGTATTATAAGTGGAAGTAGATAAGATGGTTATCCAGTTTTTGCTTCAGGCAGATAACAGTGAGGCTCCTTGTTCAAGGGAAAACTGGAGACTTCCCTTCTGCAACCTTTTCATTTTCTTCGGTGTTTGGGAGTTTATAGGGTGTCTTCTTACAACATCTAGGGTTAATAAAGAAAACATTGATTCAGATGCGGTAATGGTTCACAGATAATAAACAGTGCTGTTGAGGCCTGAATGCACTGTGAGTGAATTACCACACACGTTTAATGTAATGCAGGGGTGCCCAACCTTTTTTGAACCGAGAGCTACTTTTAAAGTTGCCAGTCTGCCGAGATCTACCAGTCCAAATAGAGAGGCGTAGCCATTACTGACAGCCTACTACCAGGTAAATACACACTTATACTTGTATAAAACTGACCTTTGTACGATTAATACTTCATAAAATACTGCAGTTCTATTTCGTATAAGGCTTCGCCCTCTAAGGCTATCGCTATTGCGTAATCCCACTGCACGTGTGCAGCACTGAC